GCTGAACACGCTAGTATCATTTTTCTGGTGCAAGCAAGATGCCAAAAACTGGAATAATGTACCGTAAAATTGATTACCATTTTTCCTTCAGAGTTGCATGTTGACGAACAGTTTTCCCGAAAAATTTTGTTCCGTGAAATTATCATGTGTGTGACAAAGCACAACTTCCACTTTCCCTGGATCCTGATGAATAAAATTTCTCCCAGTGCTATCTCAGTATTTTATCGGGATCTGCTTAATCTTCACAATGTAGCCACATAAGTTGTGTGGCGCTAAAAGCGTAGCACAGGTACTCCCAGGATAAAGTGAGTTAGTTTACGTGTGACCTCCTTAACATGTGTAGTGTAACTGCGGTATGAACGAATGAGGATGAACTACGCAGACGCGCAGGGGGATTTTAGTCAAATGATCGATCTTGCGATTAATTAAACAAAGGAAATGAAAGGAAGAAAGCAGCTTTAGTGCCAGACTGAGAAGAAAATCCGGCGGCTGAGATGGAATCAGAGCACTAGCCTGCTGATTTAAATACAAAAAGACGAGAAAAAGCAGGGTCTTTGATATATGTGTTGTTCAACATCATGACGAAAAAGTGCCGGGTATTAAGGATACATCGCAAAAAACACAAAAGAAAAAATTTTGTGCCTTAACGCGAGCCTCTCCATAAAATTTGCTTACCAAGTTTAAATAATCATTCCTTAGTAGCGAAAACGCAGCTATAAGCTTGATCTTGAATTTGCTTCTTTGCGAATAAAGTTGGAAATAGGTCTAGGTGTGAATGCGCAATATGTACGCAAATTATCTTTGACGTTTTTTTTTTTTTTTTAAGGCATGTGGTTAGATTCTCCTCCAAATGTTGTCTAAGTCTGTCAATAGAGCGTAACAAAACAACTCACCAATGGTTCAACCACATTTTCGGGCACAAAATTTCGAGCAATTTATCTTTCAAAAAGCGTGCATCTCACCGTTGAACATTTTGAGCTAAATAAATGTGCCGCATTTCAGCCAATCAGATTCTAGTATTTTACGGTGGCAATTTTATTAATACTTTCAAGGCCAAAAGATTCTAAAAGAAGATGATTACGAAGTCTTATTTTTATATTTTGAAGGCAAATATTTGTCTTTTCACGATCGAGTTTGCAATTTAAAGATTTTATTAAATCATGATTGCGGTAAGACAATGACAACCCGTTTCTGTTTAGTCACTTTCCACCTCATTAAGGAAATTGATAGCATCCATGAAGAAAAAGATAATCAATCAGATTGCACAGGAGATGAAAATTTGCCAGCGATTCAATGAAGAAATATAAGCCTTTGACTGTGTGACGCAGTCACTCGTATATCTAATCTTTGGCAGTTTTAAAACATGCCGATTACGTATAAACAAAGTAAATTTATACCACAGATTTAAGAAACTATACAAAAGCCGGCGTTTTCCGTGCATCAACGCTAACTCAAGATTTCTTGTGTACAATATTATCGAGCAGTTGATTTCACCCTGCGCTCTATGAATCGGAAAATGGTCATGACGAAAAAACTGGTGCGATTCTAGATCGTGAATCGTCTTTAATTCTATCGATCGCATGAACAGCTACAGAAATTCCTGAAAGGATGTTTAGGACTCAGAGATCTGCTGGCTGAGTAGTTTGCATTTATCGTACTTTCTTTTACCAAGAGTAGCAGTTTTGACTTTTCCGCAACCTTCTCTGCATCGCTTCGATACCATACCACAAAGTTAAAGCTTATCGAGTCAGCATAAAATTATAAACCATCTTTAAAAAATTGTAAAAACAAACAATCATACAGGCAGTTATTTTCATAATAAATGGTCTTACCTATTTTGGGTTGCAATACATCTCCCCGCGAAAGTTTGAGAAAATACTCGCGTCTTTTTTGTTACACAGCAGAACTCACGTGTTGCCCTTATCTTTAAGCCATCACGTTTTCGTTGAGCTGTGCCACGCTGTGGCTCAGTAATATAACTTGACCGCAAACACAATGACAAGCAAACTGATAACTCCACTAGTTATCAATTATTAATTCACATTATCACTAACTTTCGCTTTTATTCCGAAGCAGAAACTGCGACAAAATCCTTATTCTTCATCGCAAGTTATAATCAAAACTGACCTTTTCTCTAGAAACCTATTGCCATCACGAATCGCTGGAAGAAAACAGATTCAGAGATTTTTCTCAAATAATTTACGAGATGGATAAAAATTTCCGTATCTAATAGGCTAACCAACGATTATCTAAATGAATAACATTAAAAAATTTTGAAAGATTCATAAGACCAAATAATATTCTGGTTTATAAGAAAGCTTTGTAGCCTGTTTTTTTTACACTACCTGGTGGCTTTCATCAGTCTTATTATTGTGGTCTTAAATTTTAGGAACGATACCAATTTTGTAAAATTTTGAAACTAATTTTAATGCAAGATTCAATGTATCAAACAAAATCGAAGTAATCTTCCCAAGGATACTCGAATTTCTGATATTTAAACTTTATTATTCTGCATTAGTCAAGGTTCATATCATACAGACAAAAATTAAAATTAAAAAAAAACATTTATCAAGACAGAGTAATGTCCGATATCAGAGCTAAGGGTTCACATCGGCTATGAATTCAAAACTGTCACTTACTTCTACTGTAACAAATCGTTTAGATTAACCATAATCAGAGGTCGTTTATTCAACAAAACCTTTTCATCATGAAATATTCACTGTATGCCAGAAAGTGCTTTAATATTTCATGGTAGTAAAATGGCTCAAAGCACGAAAGTGCAACACTGATTTAAAGTGTGCGTAGAGATTAGAAAAAAAAATTCAAACGAGTTTTCTCGACTAAGTTTAGGAATACTTTTCGAGCTAAGCAGTGTCAAACGAGACAATATCGGCATCATTTGTATTAAGTACGTAAGAATCAGCAGATAGGTCTGAATTACTTCCAATTTCCATGTTTTGTTTTTCGTTTATTCCATGCAGTTAACTGTGGTTGAATGTCACTGCGCTTTTGAGAGACAATAAAGCCACAGCATCAAGGGAGAGACGCGGATTGAACAAATAATTTCATAGAAGGATCTAACACCAGATGAATCGAAGATGAAGTTGGAATGAGTTTTTTTGAGAGCAACCGCAATAACAGCTCCAACAGCATCAAAAGAACGTATGCCTTTTTCCTGATCCTAAAATTTATCCTGTCCCTGCCATTCCTTTGAGCATTTTCACCAAATTTACACTGCTATTTTATCGTTTCAAATGTAAACATTTGAGAGTAAAACCTTCTCTTGAAAATACAAGTTTGAAACAGGCACAGTAGTTTCAGTCCTTTTATTTGCGTATTAACGGAAACTGTTTCAGTTTGTTTCTCATGATGAAAATTAACAGTACATGCTGAAAATAACAAAAGTATTCATGATTTCTTGCTGTTTCGAGACGAAATTAAGGAAGGCTGAGTAACCAGGCTTATATATGAGGTTTGTCTCACGGTGAGGTTTCTCTCATGGTGCCGGTGCATGATGGGTAATAATTACCACGATATTTTGAAACTGAACAACCTTGTTTAGTTGGAAGTTTCCCTCCAAAAAACCTGACGTTTGTCTTAAAAGATTTTTCCTTTTGCTTCGTGCCGACGGCGCAAAAACGACAAAAATAGATTTAATCACAAGTGAAATTCTAGAAATAATTTTTTTTTATAATCAGCTGGCTTTTAGCAAGAGCCAGTAGATTCAATTCACCAAAACTTATTCTCAGGATAATTGGCCATGACTTCTTTTACAAATCATATTTTAATGTCTGGAATCCATTAAAATTTGTGTTAAATTGCCTTACGTATTCAACTCTTTTAAGCATTACATATGTGCAGTGGTTTTCATGCTCATTAACTGAGAGTAGTTTAGTGAAGTACTTTCGGTACATAACGAGTATTTTTCCGGACATAAATATGTATTTGAAGCTCTATCTATTTTTGTTTTAGTGATTTCCGATGGCTTTGTCTCCTTTCATGGGATCTACCCACAACCAAAAGTTTAACTTTGTTTTCGTGGAAAAGACAATAACCCCTCCAGCAAAATATGACCTATTTATAATAGCTTCCAGCTGTCTAGGAGCAAATTTATGTCGGGTTGATAATCTTCATTACGATTTATGGTCAAAAGAGCATCTAGATGGTGTTCTCTTCTTTCGCTTTTGCTTCGGTACAAGAGTTAGCGAATCCAGTCATGAGTGGAAATACATGACGGGTAATTGTAACGCCCCGGCTGGCAGCCTCTTTGTCTGGAAATTATATTCTGAATAACCTTCCTGAATAGCAAATATTACAGGATTTCTATCTGGAAAAGATGACTTGTAAATTTAAAAAAATTTTCATAATAAGCAAACCCTTCAATTGTTTCTCACCTTGGGTTATTTAACCCTCAGGCAACAACATCTAAAACGAAATCAGGGTTTAGAAGTCGACAACAGAACTACAATATTTTTTTCTTCTAGATAATAAAGCTGGGTTCAATTTTCACTCAAAACCAAACAACAGGTGCTAAATGTGGCAGACATTCAACAAAATATTTAAAATTCAAATGGGGAAGATTACGAAGAAATTTTAAAAAGATCAGTTCGTGAAGGTCTGTAATGACAGGGGCGTGCTGGAAAGATTGCTCAGTGCACGGAAGGAACTGCTGACGGGACGTGCTTCGAAAAGCTCTCTGTTTCATCAGTTACTCAATCATGAAGAGGTCGTTTCAGAATTAACTTCGTCTCATTTAGATCGACTCACGGTCGACTGTGTGCCGATGAAAATTCTTCGTAATTTATGTTTAATTTCCCGCAGATTTACGTCGTGTTCTGCACCGTCTGGACTAAATGTTAAGACCAGCTTGTGTTTAGACCATGATGGTAACAAATTTTATAATCCCAGCTGGTATCGAAAAGATATTTTCTCAGAAAGATTTTAACCGGAGACTATTCCTAGCTAATGGCAGAAATTACAGAAGGAAATCGAAGGCTTACCTTGTTGTCGTCCGTGTTACTCGCGTTAGGTAACTGGTATATGATCTGAGGCACCAAACGAAAACGAAGTCCTAGCGCTTGTCAATGTCTCTAGTTATGTCCGATCTTAATCATTGACAGCCGCGCGAAGCGGTGCATGATGTAAGCTTCCCCAATGCAAATACGACGCATTTCAGTGATATTTCCATGAAAAAGGCTGATAACAATCGGAAAAATTAGAGAGGAAGTTGAAAGGAAATTCGATAGAAAAATAAACGAGTTTGATTAAAGAACGCCTTTACTTTGGCCTTGGAAAAAATGACTCAAATTGAATTTCTCACGACCTTATCTGTTTTTGTCCTGTAGACCGCCTACAGGTGTGAATGATCGATTTCCAATAAAAGATGACGAGACAATAAATTCTTAAAACAAAATTGAAAGGAAATGTCATATTTTCAGTGAAGAGAATTTAATCGTAGATCATCTCTATTGCATTCACCGGTTGTCTGAAGGTGAGTGAAGATTTGACAAATGATGGCAGGTTTATTTTGAAATCAATTAAGGTCAGCCACTTGAGTACTTTCGTGGTAAACATTCAGTTCCTCGCTGGACGTACTTTGCATAAAATTTAGATCCAATGCTCTCTTTGTAGGAGGCACCATCTTGATTTAAAAAAATCAAACAATAAAAAAGCTACTCCCTTCGTTATCGCAGTAAGGGTTAATCTGAGAAAGATGATCAAAAAAGTTTTTTTTTGTTAGGCTGCGTTGATTTTAAAAACATAACATGCATATTTAGACGTCTCGGTAAACCCGTTATGAGTAAGAACGTGCACGCAACAAAAATGAAAATTAAAAGATAAAAAAAAATACAAATGTGTTAATCCAGTGTCTATACCGTTTGGGCAGTTTGATAACGATTGAACAGATTTATAAGTTAGAAAGAAGTTCCTGGTTTATTATTAAATTTAGGTTTTTCCTAAATCAAGGAAATAACAGTAAATGAAACGTATCAATGCAGTTAATTTTTCCTTAATTGATATGATTAAGGTATATTTGAGCGGAACCGGCTCGGTGTTTGCAACACCGTTAAGAAAGAAAATCACCCAAACTGTATTTTCGGTTTTGAAAACCATTATTTAATGGAATATGAAAGGAATTAGGAAAACAAAAGAAAGAAAACAACTAAAGAAAGAAAGTTTTCGTGTCGATTTGCAGGCCCAGCTCGAGCTTTCCATTAATTACTTTTCCGCAATCAAACGACCCAACAAATCAGGATGCCGCTACGCTATCATTTTTGCTTAACACGATTAACGCGACTTGCAGGTGAAAAGTAAGGTTTCTGTTCAACATAAAATCAAAGTAAATTAAAATAGTGACTCACTATTTGGCCAGATATTTCTCATGTCTCAATACTTGATAGGTTGCGCCTTATCAAATTAAGGAAAATGAGAATTTTATTTAAGTGCTAAGAGGAAGACGAGTACTAAATCCGGTCATGCACGGCCATCTTGAATGTAAAGCCACTTGCCTGAAAAAAATTATTTTTTAGAAAAGCAAACAATTTTCAGTTTGGCGTTGATCGGTGGAGTCTAAGGTTTTTTATCACTTGCAGGCCGATTCTTGGTTATCAAGTTCATCAAAATTGTCCAACTCACAGAGTTTATTTTGCTCGAATTTGCGCTGGACATTGCATGCAGTATTTCTAACAAACGCCGAAATCAATGCACAACATTAAGTAAATAAGTTTCTTTTCGTTTTTCATGTTGAGGAAGACTTTTTCCACAAGCCATACCCAATAGCTTTGCGCGATCTGCAATGCCGATATTTGATCAGAAAGGTGTCCTTGGTTGAAAATACATGGCAAATTCGGCTTGCAATTTGCTTCACGTCAATCAGTCAATTGATCAAACAATCGATCTATCTATGAATCAATCTACCTTCCATTCACACTTACTTTAGCCGATTCAATTATTAACTGCCTCACAAAGTCAGCTAACAAGTCGCTGTTAGTCTACAGTTCTCTAAGCTATCATATTTATTATTAGCATTTTGTCTCAGTGTAATGAACTGACTATGTTTTGCTTCTGCCTCTGGGTCAACTGTGAGTGACGTTCTCTCGTACAGGTGCAGTCAGTGATATTCACACTGTCGAAATCATCACAAAGCTTTGTTCTTTGTGTTTCTTTTCTGGAAGTTTTCCATTCCTGGATGATCCCTGATGCCACGTACTTCTGTTGTAAGATCGAACAAACGACGTTCCTGTGGCCAGAAAAGGCACATCGAAGCTGCGCTCCTTGCAGAGCAGCTTGTAACCAAGATAACGAAATGTGTTTATCATCTCACGATTCCTATAGGCGTACACGAAAGGGTTAATGGCACTATTGCTGTAGTGACAGAACTTAACAAACTTTAAGAGTCGATCCGTCCCCAGTTGGGAGGGTAGTTTTTGTGGATGGTAGGTTGCTAAGACACTGACAACGAACAGTGGCATCCACGCTATGATGAACAGCAGGGTTATCATGGCAACCGTGACAGATAACCTTATCTCGTTGTTGTAGGCTTTCTTGGGTACACGGTGACGTGATAACGTACTTATGGGCCTTGATCGCGCATACACGTAGATGGTGATGTACGCGACGAGAATGATTACAAATGGGACGAAAAAGCACGTGGTTGTCATGAGAAGTGTGTACACTTCTGTCCAGCGCTTGAATTGCACCGGTTGCAAGCTCGCCATTATGGCGGCGTACAACCACGGAATTGCTATCATGGCGTAGAACACTTTCATGGGAAGAGTTCTGTGACGTAACGGCCTGACGATTGCGTGACAGCGTTCGATACTGATGGACGTTAGTTGCAAGATGGAAGCGCTCCCGATAAAAATGTCAGACGTGATGTAGAATTGGTATCCTACGTTGGTGTAAGGGCGCTCGGTGTACTGACTCAGAAAGATGTATATCCAGCAGGGGATAGACACGAGACCCACAAGGATATCACTCAACGACAAACTGACGATAAACGTATTGGTCACGGTTCTTAACTTCCGGTTCATTGCAAAAGAAGTCAGGATGAGTCCATTTCCGGTAATGATTGTCACGACGAGTAAGCAGTACAACACAGTTATGAAGGCGAGCTCAGTCAGGTTCATTTTTTCTATCACCGCTGGAGTTGTGTTTGTATTTCCAGTGCCATTGCCGTGATTCTCCATTCTGAAATTTCTCCTGTAGCTGAAAAGCCTTTCTTTTGCTGTTAAAATAAAAAAGAAGGAAACAGGCGCGTTATATGAGAGTGTTCAAACTAAAAACATTGAAAAATTACCGTGGTTTTCTCTACGCATGCACAAGAGCAATTCACAGACAAATTCACGATCATTTGCCGTATACAGATGTTTACAATTTCTGGTAAGTTAGTTACACTATTTCACAGTTTTATATTAGTTCTTAACAGTTACCACTTCGGGTTGAATTCGAATCAATTAATAAGATTAGGGCAAAAGCGTGAAAAATAAGCTGTTTAGAATTCTTTCATAATTTCACGTGGTGTTGTTTGTTCTCTCGATCATTCTGTGACAGATGCAAATTGTTGAATCGAATTAAACCATCTCGAAATTTAAGCACCGTTTGCAATCTGTCGATATTTTGGGAGAGAATCGTCAAAGAACACCAATTCAGTTGTCGACGTTGTCTACCAAATAGGAAAACTTAAAGTGTTAGTAACGGTACTAAAATAAACGTCGTGGACGAATCGGTGCCTCACGTGATGTTTACCACTTTCGTCGTTCTGCGCGCGTTCGTCGCAGTAACTCCAAAAATGCGCCGATCGCTTTGACTCAACTCATTTTGACAGAAGTCTTATGAAAACCGGTTTCTTGCTCCTATGCTTAGTCTCTAGAGAACCGTTCAGAAGTTGCTGGATAAAAAAAGAGGCTACACAAAGACCGCCTAACGGAAAACTATTAACACAAACAATCTCCTACCATAAAAACACAATGCCTTGAGCGCAGACTCTCACGAACGACTTCGTCGGTTCGAGAAGATCAAGAGTTCAATTTTAATAACCGCATCTTGCCACCTTAAAATATTGAACTGTGATGAAATTCGCCGGCAAATAGCATGCCTCAAGCTGTGTTCTCGTTATTTCTATGTTCGAGGCGTCAAATCTACGAGATAGTCTTGTCTCTAAATCGAACAAATAATGACGTCAAGGAAAGATTTGGAGATAGGGATCAGATTAAACCGCTAACTGGCCAAAATTAAAGACGATTATCGAATTAAAATTAAAACGGCGTAAATTAAGGCCACGACTTACATCTTGATACTGCAGGATTCCAAACAAGCTCGAATCCCGTCCTAAAATGTCGGGTGAAGTCTTTCGCCAAAAACTGTTAACCAAGATTTTTTTATAACTAAGTTACTCTTTGGGAATTAGGAAGGACCACTGCATAAAGACACACAATCTTTGTATCATCTGCACTGTCCGCACTAATTGTTTCTTTGTCACTAAAATCTGCCTTTTTGGCCGGCTTTCAAATTTTATGCTAATGTAATGTTCTTTTCCATCCTTGGCTGGTTTTTCTTTTGGCATTTGCCATTCTCTGTCGCGCGTAACCCATCGCGTTTTATTATTGATCCAGAATAAAGACATTTGCATCTAAACAATCGGTTCCCTTGATCAACAAAAGTTTTGAAAGCCATAACTTGTTAAAACAATTATCAAAGACAGCCGTTGGATCTGATCATTATTTTAGGCAAAGAAACCACAAAAGATTCGTTTTTGATGCATTTAATTCACTGTTTGAGGTTAGAACCGAAACAAAAGCGGAGTGACCAGCACAACTAATGGTAATCTGTTACTGTCATGTTTCTTATTAAAAAAAAAAAACGAAACGAATCAAAACAGGCAAACTGTCAGATGTTCGTTAAAAAGAAAAACCAAAATTTTCAAATTTCTTTTTCAGTATGAGTGTTTTTCTTTATGTCATCAGCTACTGTTTATTCGGCTGAGATTCCAGTCGAGCAGAAAAATTTCCCGTTTGAATCGAGGCGGCCCTACGGTCGAAATTTTCAAGTCGACCACTCGAATGCAATCTTTTCGTCGACCCAGTTCTGACTAATTCGAATGAACTTTGATCTCATCACGAACTGAACTGAAGGAATTAGGTTCGGCGAATTTGA